TATGATGTTCTTATTGCAACATGCTGACGTTAGCCTGTTACAGTGTCATTGTCATGTTGTAGTGTCGTATTGAAAGTAAAAAACATGTATTGTACAGCTCTCTTCATGCCCTTTCATATCATATTTTACTTGATATGGTTTACTTTGACCTTGGGCGCTAACAATGAAGGTCAAGGTCAAACGCTTAGCCAACCTCGGCATTCGTGTCCCCCAAGGAGTGTGAAGTTTGACAATGATCCAAAAAAATTGTGGGTAATATAAAAATTTTACAGATTTTGGTGTATTTGGTGTGACCTTGAGCTGAATTTCCCCAAAATTAAATCAGCTCGAGCTGATACCTTAAAAACACTTGACCGCTAACAGACAGACAAACAAACAAATGGAACTGAAACTAGAAAGTCCATAAGCTCAAGACATTGGGTCAATGACCGAGGACCAGATGTGATAATCGTGATTTTATTTTGCACCTGCCGACATGAATTTGACATTTTGAGACTAAATTATACAAAGATACACCAGGGAACACAGGGAAATCCTACAATAACACAGAAAACACATAGATATCAATAAATAATACTTCTATTAAAAATAATCCTTTGTCAGATAACCCAAATACTCATGTTAAACTCTCTTCTTATGAAGACAGCAAAAGAAGCTTGAGTGGATTAAAACGGCCTCACATTTCACACTTGTAATGTCTGCTTTGCAACTACATCTAAACACTATTTAAAAAAATGTCAGCATTTCATCACCACAAAGCTAAATATTCTACCTTTTTGTTTAGGCTTTAGATTTGGAAAGATTTAGTGTTATCCAGCTTAGGATCAGTCCACAGAAACCTTTTAAAACATTGATGAGGTGTGAGTTTTCACTGAGAGATTAGTGCAGTTGTACATAATCCCATTAATGAGGTGTCACAGAAAGCCCTGCAGGGCCCTTCAGCAGAAACACCTGAATGAACTGCAGCCTTTTTAATCTCATTATTAAAACCTGTCTGAGTCAAAGTGTCTGTGAGAGACTCGTCGTGTGGCCTTTATTACCGCGGGATTTAAGAAAGTCATGACTGATTAATGTTGAAGAAACCTTTTAGTTTCTTGAGAAAAAGCTCCTGGAACCTAAAGCTTAAAGTACTTAGGGTGGAAATGCAGACTTATTTCCATTGTTTTGCTTACTGTTCACACTTTCTACCATCATCATAAAGAGGGAGACAACCAGCCAGGGTTCACTATAAATACAACTGAATATATCACATAAAAACAAAAGCGAGACATATAAAACAGCAATTTATAAACTCTTATCTAAAGTAGATGAAATTAAATTGTTGGACAGATCAAAGGTTCATACTACAGTAGCACTGTAGTATGAATATCTGGCTCGGTATGTTTTTGTGTTAGTAATTCCTTTAAAGTTTGACACGGCTCCAGGTCTGCCACTTTAAATGCTGGCAGAGGGAAACCTCCCTTTAAATCCCCTTCACACTCACATGTAATGTTATCAGCATTAATGGCACATATTGTTTGTGAATGTGGTATTTCTTTGCTCTGGTATGTACTGCTGCACTCTGTGTCTCAGACTCTTGGGACGGGATAGTTTTCCTTTTTAAGGCAGGTTAGTCAGAGCTCTTCCCCCTCGAATGCTGTCATTAACAACCTGGGCCACCTCACCATGTGAGGACGAGGCTAAGTCTTGAAAGTTGCCTTGCATCCTCGCATTGTTATGATGTGAGATCACAGCGGCGGGGAAAGACGATGTTCGCATGAACCTCGACAGGTCTTCCTTGGAAGTTTATCCTTTTTTGTAAAGGATCAGTTCTAGTTTTCATGGATCTGCAAGGATTGGTGTAGGCACAAACTGTAGGTATAGACTATAATTGTTGTCTATATTGAAAATAAAACATTGCTGAGCAAAAGTAGGAAATAAATACCCCCCAAATATCATCCTAAATACTCACAAAAAGATTAAAAATAACCTCAAAAGCATGCAGAACTACTACAAAAAGACTCAAACAACCATAAAAAGAGTAATGGGGAACAAGATACGGAGAGCCTCAAAATTATTTTACTCCACGTTCTCAATGCAAAAAGTTTTGAGGCCATCTCGAATTTGGCAGGTGTGACCTAGTCAGTGTACCCCACCATATTAAGGAAGTGCAGACTGCTTATGGTGGATGAATCGTCTCGAATTTTCTCTTGACTGAAGTCTCATTCAGCAATATTGTGATAGTGTTTGTCTCTGCCCATCAAGAACTGTCAACATTAACTTTTATTAAGAATAGCTTAACCCTCATTTTCCATCTTCCTTGAGCTAATGTGTTTACATTAGCTTAAGCATAGCTCTTTGGCTAGCAGACCATTATATGTTAGTCCAAATTCACTACCTACCAAATATTACTTCTATTTAGTTTTCTGTCTTTACTTACATCAAAGTTATAGCACTGCTGTATTTCCTTTTTCAGAACATGTTTTATCATCTATGGATGGAAATCAGCTAGCTACCTAGCTTCCAGCTAAGTTGTAACTAAGCTAAACCTTAAATCCTCTTTTTAACGATGCCTTGTCAATAAACTTTATTGTAACACCTGGGAGAACAGCCACATTGATCATTCAACAGGAATCAAGGAAATTTGGACTATTTTGCTCTTGATTGTGCCTCTATTTTGTTTGACTAATAAATGCAACACATGTATTGGGGGAAAATAAACATTACTGCCCCCACTCAGCAGCAGGTCCTGATATGGAAGCTGGCTCCAGAGCAAAACTCATTAACTTTAAAAACTTGAAGTTTTAAATTTTGGGTCAATTTCAAACTATTTTCTCACAATTTTGAGTTAGTATAACACCAACCCTAGATGTAGTGACCTGTATGTTAGCTGTCTCTAACCCAGTAATCTTACCTAAACCTAACCAAGAGCTAGGTCAGCCTAGGTTAACTTAGGTAATTTAGAATGAACATTTAAGTGCCTTTCTCTCAGTTGAGTGACAAATAATTGGGAAGTCTAAAAGTTACATCCACCAGCCACCAGTGTTGGTCAAGTTACTTGAAAAAAGTAATCAGTAACTAATTACTGATTACTTCCCCAAAAAAGTAACCCCGTTACTTTACTGATTACTTATTTTCAAAAGTAATTA